TGGCAATTCCAAAAACTGTGCAGGTTATGGAATTTGTTCGAAGATGGCTGTATCAATTACATTATACATGTACGCATTTTCTTGGAACAAAATTCCTTTTTTTCTTATTGCCTGTCTTATAGTAGTGAAGAAAGACACATATCATCGTCACTGGAGAACTCATCTGTTGCCTTTACTATCATCATTGTTGCGTGTCTTAATTAATTTATGTGTTTCTTGTTACAATCTCTTTAACAAAATTGTATTTGCATTAAAAAAATAATTGTTTTTATATCTTGTTTGGTTGATGTAGATAAGATAAGATAAAATATAAAAATATCTATTTTATTTTTAATATGTATTAATGTTAAATTTACATATTTAAACAAATAATTTATTATTTTTTTACTTTAATTTATATTAAATATTAAAATTAATAATAATATAATAATTCTAGCTATAAAACCTGAATTGGCATGGCCTGATAACCTGGTAACTCATGTTGATAATAATGTAATAATTTTAGCTATAAAATTTGGATTGGCATGACATGATGACCGGTAATTCAGGTTGACTTGTAAAGTCTTAATTTGAGTTTTAAAACAACAATAATAATAAAATTTTATTTTTGCATGCTTTAATTAAATAGTTTTGAAATTATAAATTTTGTACAGGAATATTTTAGGGATAAAAATAGTAAATATTGTATATAGAGATATGAATTTTCGTGCCTAGTACGTTACAACAATTACTCCAGCTGGGGAACCGTATTTGATGACGTTGGTTTGCGTTTTCAAAATGACCCGGAATTTCTACACGCATAAAACTGACTTTGGACTACCTGGACCTCCTAGGATCGAGATCTACACTATAATTTTTTTTCTTTCAACTGTGCGAACTTGCATCAGTTACTTTGATTTACTTGAGAGCCCCCTGATTAGATTTTAGCACGAACCCTTTTGACTCGCGTGAGCGAAGAACTCGAGAGGATAAAATGTACATGCACAAACACGGAGGCACCACTGTTGGCTGAGCGATTCGCAGCAACAATCTGATCTGCTTTTGAGAGAGTTATGAAGGACAAAGCAAAGTTTGGATTTCTAATCCAAAAGGGTACTTTCTTGATGCTAAAACCGAGTGATGTCCCTGACAGGCAAGCTGTATTGCAAACCTCCAATCAAGCTCCAAAAGATTCGCGTATTGAAGCTTGGGCAACCAGGAGAGGATGCCATGCAGAGAAGATGGCAGATATGTGGAAACAAGCTCCCTGTCCTGGCCATTTTCATGATATTCTTAGCGTCTAGGAAACTACCAGAGCCAGTTCCATATTTTGAGGGTGCAATCTCAATATAAAACCAAGCACTCACTTGTTTAAACAAATGCATGAGCAGCATAATTCGTATCTTCTTTCCCTCGTTTAATCGATCTGTCCATATCTTGAATGTTGATAGCATTGAGTCTTCAAATCCTTTAGAACAGTATGAAACCAAGAAGCTGGTTTTTAAAAAACCTTAGGAATTGGAGCTGACAATCATATCTAGCTACAGAGCTTTGATTGTTTGGATTGTTTTCATCAGATTCTCACTGTGCTATTTCTTGTGAGAAAACTTGTATTTTCACTGCCAGGACTATTTTTGGGAAGCACAATTCTGCTTGTCCATTTCACTGCTATATTACTCAGCCTGATTCTGCGTTTTGTATTCATGTGCAGAAATCAGGACAGAAAGCAGAAACAATAACATGCAGACTGACATAGGTTTCTATTAAATAAGTAGTTGTATTCGTGCATGATCTGTGTATACAAACAGAGATTTGACTCCATAACGTTCTTAATCAATCAGCTAATTATGCTTGGTCAAACAAGCAAAACTTTCCTATTATATTACACTAAATAGATATACAGATAAATTGATCATACAGCAACACTCCATCCTTAACATTTATATAGATGGAAACTGAATACATCTCTATCAACTGATCTATGGGAAACTCGTTTAGGATTTGAACGTGGAGACCTTGAACTGGATTAATCTTCTCTTTTATCGTCATAGGAGAAGTAAATTAAGACAGTTCTGTTAAATAAAACACCGATAAGTAAGAACTTGAAATCAAACGAAACTCAATTTGACCCATGTGGTGATTTAAGATAAGTTCAAGCATCATTTGTTACGTTCTACTACCAACAAAACAAAAAGGGTAAATTGTGTGGTTCAATCAACAGTAATGGCATGAAGTTTTGAAAATGGAAACCCTTCCCCTGAAGAAGACGGTCTGAAAATGTTTTTAAAGCAAGGCGCCAAAAAAAGAGAGAATCAGTGAATATAAAAAAGGTCCAACCCAGGCCACTGACTAATTTGTTTTTATGTTATAGTTTTTTTTAGTATTTATTTTTTATATTTAAAGTATTTTTCTTATGAAAATACATTAATATAATTTTTTTATTTTTTAAAATTTATTTTTTATATCAGAAAATTAAAATAATTTAAAAACATTAAAAAATAATTTTATGTAAAAAATTAAATTTTAAACAAATAGTATTTTGACCAAAATGCAATTAAAATAATTTAAAAACATTAAAACAATAATTTTATATAAAAAATAAAATTTTAAACAAATAGTATTTTGACCAAAATGCCAAACACCCTTTTAGCTAAGATCTTGCTATGTTAGAGCTGTCACCCCCTCCATTTCATCCTCTCTTCACTCCTGCTCGTACAAAAATGTTTAAGAATATATGTTAGTTTTTTGAGAGTGTTTTTGATTTGGGTATATATTAAAATAATATTTTTTTTAAATATATATTTTTGACATAGTACATCAAATTAATTAAAAATATTAAAAAATATTTTTTAAAAAAATAAAAAAATTTAGTAAAATGATGGAACACCCGATACGATTTCTGAATGTTAAAAATTTATTGAAGCTGAGAGGTATACAGTAGGAGGAGGTAAAGTGCCTGTAAATAAACTAAATTCAGGATAGACAGCAACTTCTCATGTTTGAAGAGGGAATTTGGAAGGTGGGTAGTGTTTTTTATTTTAAAATATATTAAAATAATATTTTTTAATTTTTAAAAAATTAATTTTAGTTTTAGTAAATTAAAATAATCTGAAAATATCAAAAATATATTAATTTAAAATAAAAAATAAATTTTTAAAAAATATTTTTCCATCAGTCAGACACTGCCTAGTAAGAAGTCATGCCCTGGTTGTCCCTGTAGCTGTGCAATCCTAGGATGCCAAAAAAAAATCAACAATTGAAGGCTTGAGAGCCTGTCAAACTATTTAATTATGGATGTGAACAAACAAGCTCCTTTTTGTATCTGAAATGTGACTACGCAAGCCTGACATCGCCTAAGACCAGAGAATTTAAAAATAGAAAAAGCAATTATTTTTATATTGGGATGCAAGCAATTATTGCTTAGAAGCACTACCTTAAAATATGATTTTATCATTGTTAAATGGCTTGTAAACGATAAAAGTTATTACGGTTGTTTTTTAAATAATTTTTTGTATTAAAATATATATTAATAATATTTTTTAATTTTTAAAAATTTATTTTTAATATCATCAAAATAATTTGAAAATACTAAAAATATATTACCTTGAAGTTAAAAAAATAAAATAAATTTAATTTTTTTCAAAATCACTTACTAAATTTTCTTGGTTTTATCATGGTTAAAGAAGCATTTTAGTCCGATTTAAGTTATTAAATAAAATTTTAAAATAAAATTTATATTATTTTTTAATAAATCTATTTAAATTTAAAATTTACACAAACTTATATTATCTATATTTAATTTTTATTAAATAAATAAAAACATAAAATTTGAATTCAAAACCACTTCGTCATCAAAGTTTTGATACCATATTAAAAAATTATTTTAATTTAATAATTTAAATTATTAAATAAATTTTTAAAATATAATTTATATTATTTTTAAATTCTTACAAAGAGTACTTACAATTAGTACTGATCTTATTCTCGTAAAAAATAAAAATAAAAACCAATCTTAAACGTAAAAGATTATATCAAAATTATAGAGTGGAATATTTAAGCCTTAACACTAAAACAGCTTAATAGAACACCGTGATTATCACCAAAGTGTTTTTAAAAAGGAATTAAATATCGTTTTGTGATAAAAAGAAAAATAAATCTAAAACAGATCTTAATCACCTGCTAAGTGTTTGGGGTCATGGGCAAGCCTGCCCAAATCCTTAGACTCGTGAAATTTTGAAATGAGTACACTCCCTCAATCTCTAAACTCGGGCAACGGGCAGGATGACCGAACCCTAATCACACTTGCAGAGAGAATATAAATCCTTGATTGCTTCGAAGGGTTAAACCCCTCCCTCCCTCGCTCGTCATCTCCCTGCAGTCTCTCTAGGGTTTTGACATGTGCTTTTAATTAGTCTTACACGCTGAATTTTGAGGTACTGTTTTCTTTATGTGGCTAGGTTTCTCAACATAGAGTAAGTCCCTGGCGTTTCATTGCGTGTAGGTTGGTGTTTTTCTTTTCATTAATTACAGTTTGAATAAGTTTACATCATATTTTTCCAAGAGTTGGTCAAGCGGTACCTGTTTTAGGCTTGTCTGATCATTGAAACTAGGTTGAGAAATCTAAATCTCCATTTGGGTTTTGAAGGGATTGAGCAAGGCAGTGATCTCCATATCTAGGTGGGGTTCTTATGAATCTCGTAGAAGTAGCAGACTAGCAGTAGTTGTCGTGATCTTGAAAAGGTTGTTTCGAAAGAGATGGTAATGCTCTCGGCTTTTTATCACTTTTCAGTCAAATTTAGTTTGCTTTAAAGTGCCACCACTTCAACAGGTTAATTTTCTAGCACTCATATTTTGTGTCCAGGGCTTTCACCTATAACGGGCAAGTAAAGTTCTTCTTGGTTCTATTCTTGCTAGTTTTAGTATATCGATCTGTCTTTCTACTTCAACCACACATATATCCCTATCACTTTGCCACGCATATCTAGATCGTAGACACCACAGTTCTTGTACTCCTCTCAAATATGGCTCCGACTGGTAGAAAAAGAGCAAGAGCGAAAACAAGAACAAGAACAACGAGAAAAACCCAGTATAAAAGAGCGGTTGTGAAGCCGAAGGGCATTAAAGAGGCATCAACAATTGATCAGGATTTTCCTTCTAACTCTTCCACGAGCTGCGATGACTGTCCAAGGATCGATGGCTTAGATTTCGAGGGTGTTGATATCTCCACGAGTGCATGCTCTACTCCAAAAGCTGAGAGATTTCGGATACCAGAGATTCAAACATGCCCGCCAGCGCCGAGGAAGCAAAGGATGATATCGATTTGCTCTTTGCGAAGAAGACCAATTGCTTTCTTTGCTCCTCCAGATTTAGAGCTCTTCTTCTTCTACGCACTTCAAGTCTGAAATGTTTGCTCATATCGTATGATCAAGATCATTTGAATAATTTTAAGAGGTGATCCCTAGTGTTTATTACTTCCATTTAGTCACAGATAGCCTGTTCTTTTCAATTTCATGGTTGAAGTATAGTGTGATAGTTTGTTAATTAGCTTTACCTTCTCCATCTCTTGGGTTTTCTATCGGTAGGGTATACTAATACGCTAAATTTAGCTGGGGCTGTCCAACTAAATTTAGTCTCTTCAGTTTTTCTTAGGTGTGTTGCTGACTTTAGAAGCTTGGAGAGTGCAATGTAATGGCTTGATTAAGGTTCTGAGTGGGATTTTATTGTGGAATTATCAGCTTTTTACTGGTTTGGTCAACTTGGGAATGTAAGAACATGCCACCTGCTTTATGTTCAAAGCCCCGATCTCCCCGATCCCCTCTTTTTAACTTTTTTTTTTCTAATGTAATTACTGCAAACAGATCAACGGTTCATCCGTCAATCAATCAGCTGGTTGTACAGAATAACTTGAAAAGAAGTCCGTTCTTCCACTTCAGTAGTTGAATATTTATGGTTCCCAAGCACCTTTATTGTCGTTGTTGTTAATTTGTCGCTGTGGGTTCCCCTAACACTCCACTAATTATATTGACCACTACTGATTGTCTAATGTAATTACTGGTAATTAAACTCCATTGATTAATGGCTACAGTTCTAATATACTTCAGGGTCCACCAAATACTTAATTGTTGATATACACCTCCTTCTCAAGTGAAGCAACCTTCTCTTTTGGATCGCAACAACAAGGTAACTTCTTACCTTCTTTTTAGGGGAAGCTGCAAAAACACAAGTATATCCTGCATGGGGAAAAAAACATCATACAAAGGTTGTTCAAAAATGTAATAATAATTTTTAAAAAATGTTTTTTTTTTAAATACATCAAAATAATTTGAAATTTTTTTATTTTACAAAAATCTTAAATAAAAATTAATAATCACTATTCCAAACATGCTGCCAAACAAGAAGAAACACACTACAATACCTAATATAAACCTATTCTTTAGAGCATATTTATTTTTGTGTTTTAAAAGTGTTTTTGAAAATTTTAATTTTTTTATTTTTTTTACTTCAAATTAAATTTTTAATATATTAATATCAAAAATAATATTTAAAAAATAAAAAAATTATTATAATATATTTCTAAATAAAACTCACTTTACAAAATAATCATCAGTACACAACCAAACTTCTCCTAGATTACCTAATGGGAACGCAAAAGTGATTGAAGGGTGTTGTTTCTTTTCACGTTATCATAATGGTGGGATCGGGTTGTCAGATTGGAGGGTGTCTGTGTGTCACAGCTGAGCTGAGCTGAGCACAGCATCCATAAGAGAATCCAATGAAGTAGACTCGTGCGGGTGGATGTGATAATTGTCATCGTAGAGGATCTCAAGAAATTAATTTCTCTTTGTTTTTTCCTTAGTCAACTTTTTTATTCCATATAAAAATTGATCTGGGCAGCTGCATTTATTATGGCTCCATGAAACTTCAATTATTTCATTTCCCATCATTTTTATTCCGTTCATGAATTACAACACCATCAGTCGTCTTCTCTTCTCTATTAAACTTGTAATCATAGATATATCATGCTCTAACAATTAACGAATGTTCATAGAATTACAGGGAAGTCATTTCTTACTTGCAGGGAATTACTTGTAATCATAGATATTTTATTTGTTTTAAGAAATACATACGGTGGATCAGTGTAAGAAATAACTTATCTGTGTACTCAATTTTTGTACCAAAAGATAACCAGGAAGCCAATTTAAAGGTTAAATATGAGGTAAGGTTGGCAGGGCCAAGTTATCATCATCATCTTGCTGGTCTAGCAGACTTAATCTGTAAACAATCTAATTCTCTATCTGTTTTCATATTAATTAATTGCAAGTCTTTAGAAGCAAGTAATAAGATTCTCGTTTATTTTATTATTATTTTCAGATATATATTAGTGAGGATTTCCTGCCATTACATCATTAACTAAACAGTTCTGTCGATATCTTTTCATGTATGTTGATGATATGTCGATCGGTTTCAAAGCCATGGCCAAGATGAACCTTTTGTTCCAGAGTATATGTAATTTCTTCCTGTTTTTCTTTTCAAAACCAGTGCATGCTCCATGGATAGGTCTGCAGAAGGCGTGATGGGTATGATCACTTGCCTTAGATCCATGGCATGATGATGATGAGAGGACTTAGAAAAGAGGTTGGTGGGCAAAGCTTTCGCATTGAGTATGAGCAGATGTTGGAGCTTTTGAGGATAAACAATAGCCAGAAGGAATATTTGAAGGACGGTTTGCATTCATTAGAAGCCCACCTCTTCTTTAAATGATAGGTTCCCTTTCACTTTGAGAAACCCTTTCCACATTACCGTGGTCCCTTCTTTGTTCGGCAGCATGATGATACCTCCATATTCTTCCATGTTCGAGTTAGGATTCATGGGCATATTTCTATATATTAATTCTTCCGAACATGATAGTGGTCTCTCTGGATTAACTTTGACCATCTGCACCGGCCCCGGATATTTATGAACACGTAGCTCGTACACGTTGTAGCAAGCACACATCTCCTTCTTCATGCATGGTTTTATGGCTGGATTGTCCCTCGCATTAATTTCATCTTCGCGAGTTGATCTAATTAACAAATTAATTCGTTCCTTGAGGTTAATTTCCCCTGTGGCAAGGATTAGCGTACCAAGAACAAAGATAAATAGCGTCTTGTCAACGGATAAATCCTCGCTCTTTTTTTTTTTTTTTTTTTGATAGCTAGAGCTCCACCATTTACCCCTTAAATGTCTCCATGATTGACCAATCCTCAATCATTTGATGGACACAATTATTGGGGAGAATTTACATCTTTGCTTGGAAGGAGAGCCTAAGGAAGCATCATATGATCTCTTAATTGTCAATAATTAATACCCCAGCAACCTGGAGAGCCATCGCCACAAGAAGAGGAGAAAAGGGTGCTAATTGTGATGGAAGAATTAATCGCTATATATTTATTTTGCGATGGAAACTAGGATGGATATTTAATGTCGGGTAATACTGGAGATATTTGAATTTCCTATAAAGCAGATTTAGTCTTTGTTAATGTATGAATTAATGTAGAAACACTCTTTATCGAACGAAAAAAAAATCAATCCCTTCAATTGCTCCAAGTAAATCCTATTATTTATCTTCATATTTTTTTTTTCTTATAATATAAAAAATTAACATACTTTAAGTAAGGAAAAAATCCACATTTAAGATAAATATGTATCATGACTAGGGGATTGATCCTCTTATAATCGCCCACAACATAACTGGAAAATATTTGATATTAAAATTATTTTTTGAATAATTTTAAAAATAAAACTTTTTATTATCAATTGATTGATGTGTTTAAAAAAATTATTAATAAATCCTTTCTGTAGTAATTTGAAGGTTTGAACCTAAAAAAAATAAAAACAGTGTAGCTTATTTATTACAGATATTATAAAATTATTTTTGAGGCTTTACCTAATAAATTAAAATTTTAAATCATCAAATAATCACAAATCTCATCACTCATCCTATCTAATTAAATTAAACATAAAATATTGATAAATATATGCAAATTTTAAATTTAAAAGACATCCACTTCAAAAAATATATTAGAAAATAATATAATTTTTAAAAAAAAGTTTAGCGCAGCAATTTAAGTTAAAAAAAAAAGTTTAGCGCAGCAATTTAAGTTTTTTGAATTAAATCAATTGATATTTAATATTATTGGCTATCATCTCAATTGCTTGATGTAGTTGTCTCTTTTAGAATATGTAAAAAATAATTAAATATATATACTTGGAGCATCACGAGTCGCTTCAAAGCTTGGCATGTTTTTGGCTCCCTTCGCTTATATAAAGGGAAATTAAGGAAGCAATTAAGTTGGAACTTTTTTTATTTATTTTTTCACACAAAACATGTAAATCATGTACGTACTGAGCAGCTAATGTATTTACAAATATATCTATATATATATATATATATATAGACACACACACACACACCAATTAATTCATAGAAGCAATAATTGCAAGATAAAAGGAGAAGATGACGACATTGGAATGAGGAGCGACAAAATGGATTGATTGAATTGTCTTTTGAATTAGCCAAACTGTTAAGAGATGGATTGACGTGCTTGTCTGTCTCCTAAAGCTGGATTGGATTGGAGGTGTTCCTTCTTAAACTCCTGTTATATCACTTTCACTTTTTATTACTATCAGACTTGAGGAATTGTTTTAAAACGTGGGTGTCGGCTGCCGCTGTGTTTTTTTTTTGCATTTAAATAGTATTTTTTTAAAAAAAATAATTATTTTTTTATTGCTGTGTTTTTTTTTTTGCATTTAAATAGTATTTTTAAAAAAAAAATTAACTATTTTTTTATGATTTTAGATTGTTTTGATGGACTGATATAAAAAATTAATTAAAAAATATTATTTTAATATATTTTCAAATAAAAATAACACTTTAAAAAATAATCATTAACACAATTTCAAACATCAACTAAAAATATCAATCACGTCCTTAGTTTTGCATTGTTACATGTTTTCTAGGATCCGATGTTTTCTCCTTCTTCCACGATAAAAACGATAATAGACACATTTATTGATAGATTTACTTTTTTTTTATTGCACGAGATTCTGTTTCACATTGTGATTGAACTGTTTCTTAATTTTAAATTAATTTTTATATATTTTATTATTATTTTTAATGTATTGGTATTAAAAATAAATTTTAAAAAATAAAAAATATTTTAATATATTAAAAAAACATTTAAAAAATTAATAGCAGGCTCCAAAACAAACTCTAACATCCATTTCTGAATAGCAGCAGATATTCATGAACCTAAAGCCCATTACCATCAATTGGGTTTATCTAATAGCCGATAATTCACGCGTAATTAATAAAAATTATATTTTTCTTTTCTTTTCTTTTAAATTAAATACTTTATTAGCG